TAGAAATGCTGTTTGATTAGTTTTCTTGTGTTTTATTAGCTTTTGTAGAATCATTTACACCATAATGCCAGCTTCATAGCTTCATGAGTCACTGAGGTAGAATCAGAGTTCGTTGCTTGATATGTATGGATTTATTTGGATCCCGAAAAACAGACCTTATAGCAGTTTACCATTTTGGGGTTCCACATCCATATAATTTGAGGCCAGCACTAAATTGTGATCCTTCTTTATATTCACTAGTGACCCAGTTGTGCCATTATAGTTGAGATGGATCAAAGAGAAAGAAGGAAAGAAAAAGCATTTTCCAGTGAATAAAAGGGCTATAAAAAACTATCCTGCTGTTATATGCATATCTTACTAGGCATGCATAACGAGTGACCACGATGTGTTTCCACTTTTATTTCCTTAGAATCTCTTCAGTTATCTTCGCTGTATAGTCAATCAATTCAAGTTTGCACTTTTCTAAAAAAACAAACAAAACCAAAGAGCAACAAGCAGTAGAGTCCTGCTGCAGTGGCTCAGCGGTTAAGAGCAGTTTTTGCTCTTGCTGAGCCAGAGTGGGTTCCCAGCACCAACGTGGCAGCTCACAACTTTCATCAGCTCCAGGCCCAGGGGATTCAAAGCCCTCATCTAACATTTGTGGCTACCACCCATGCACAAACTGCATATATAAACATGCAAGCAAAACACTCACAGAAGATGATGAAGTAAATAAATCTTTTAAACAATGCAACTTAAATATTAATTGTGAATTTAGGGAGAATAAAATAAAAGAATTCGGGAATGTTGTGAAGCCTTATCAGTCAATATCTTAATATTAAAATTATTTTAAACTTTAATCTTATATATCTAATTAGCATATAGCTATATATCCATTTACCACATACATTATATATAATTATATAGTTTATAAAACTATAATTACAACAGTTTCCCCCTGGAGTGAGAATCTCAGCAATTATTTCTAATGCCATCCATTCTATAGTTTTAAATGATGATTTTTGAAACATAAATTAAACTATTATGTGAAGTAGCAAAATTGATAATATAAACTATTTAAAATATATCTTTCAATGACTATAAAATAACATATTTAGAGGTTTCATTGTTTAAAATTCCATTTTATCATTCATCTGTTTTTGTAACCTTTAAGTTAGTATCTACTTAATTTAAAATCAGAATCTATCAAGTGATAGGTATACTGAAATGATTTTATTTTCCTTTCTGGTTAATCTCAAATTCTTACCTCTCAAATGCTAGCTGTCAAAATAATGCAACTTTTTTTTCTGTCCATAAAATACCCTGACTTTCTGTTGGGAATATATTTTAAAGGGAAGATCTAATATACTTTAGGGGCACAACTGTTTCACTAGTAGTATGTGTAAAAAATTACATTTGAGAGAATACATTCTTAAAGACTTTCTCAATATGTTCAAGTTGAACATTGAGAACCTATATAAGTTATTTAGTATTTTATGTAATCCTTGGGCAATCCCTTTCTTCTCAGACCATTAACTTTACATTCTTGCATATCAGTAAAGACTGAACTATTTTTTTTAACTAAGAAATACAATCATCAATTCTCCATTAAAGATTCTGGCCTTCTGCCACACATGTGGCTCAGTTGATACTCTGACATATGCAAAGAGAGTGCTTCAGGGGAAAATAAGGTTCACATAGGAAAAAATCCAGGTACATTTGTCAATCAGTCACTCCTGTGTTACCTCCAAGGTGGCTTAATTTTCTTATTCCTGTTAACACAAAAGCCAACACTTAAGAAGTCTAAGGCTTTCTTATAGTCTTACAAGAGTTATGTATTAATATTTCTGCCATTTTTTAATTTTAAGTTAAATATGTAAGCAAGAAACAAACCGCTGCAATATTATTTTTTTCTTTGTTTGTGGTGCCAGGGATTGAACCCAAGACCTCATCCATACCAAGCAGGCACACTACTAACTGAACTTCCCCCTGCTTCTCCTCCCTGCATCATCTAGCTGGCTTTTAAGTAGTCTAGGCTTTGCATAGTTAGAATTTAAATAAAAGCTTAAATAACATAGCCTTGGTCTGAAGAACACATTATGGGACTTCAGTTCAATAAACTCTAATAACAAGGACCAGATATAATTGCTTAACATCCCTTTCAACACTCTGAGTATCTTTTTAGTACATTGTTATTGAATAGACTTCTAACACACATATTAGGGAAATGTACTGTATTCTACTATATTAGCTGAGTATTTTGTAAACATTCAAAGAATTCTATCACAGCTATTCTCTTATAGTAATATTTTAGAATTGTGTTAGATGAATGAAGACGTCTTTAATCATCCACAACATAATCCTTCTCTCTCTCTCTCTCTCTGTCTCTCTCTCTCTCTTTCTCCTTCCCCCACTCCTTCTCTTCCAGAAACTAAAGTTCTTACTCAATATTATATACCTCCACAAAGTCAAGCTGCCTGTCCTAGTTTCTAATATGGGATGGAGAGAAACACCAGAGTACAATATGGGGCAACAATTACAATTACCAAATTAAGTATAAATTAAATCAAAAGATACATTTACATCTTGGAAAAATCAACTCAATTCATATTATCACAATGTCAAAGATAATCAGTTTTAAACAGTACTCTATGGATAACAATGAGCATCAGGTAAATTCTAGGTGAATGAACTCCAAATAAAGCAAACTATGGGGTTATTTACTTCCCAAATGGAGGTCTTTTCCTGGTTAGGTAAGTCACATTTTTATCATTATTATCATAGTTTATAGTAAGTTCTGATTGTAATCTACAAAGAGAATAAAATATCTGTATCGGTGTTGCACAGAATCTGGCTTTAATTGTCAAGAGGCGGTGATTCTTTAGTTACTAACAAATTCTTTAATAACAAAATAGCTGATAGAAAAATAAGGCTTTTTAGGTGAGAAAAAAAGTGGTGCACTTTGTCTTTGTCCTGTTCGGTGTTGTCTTGGTTTCTGTTCTGAAAGATCCTGTGTATGCTAACGGGAAGAAGAAAAGGCAAATCTGCTTCTAGGAAAGACTTTGTTTTCATTGTATCTGTGACATGTAAGTGTCTGCTGGTGAATTGCAAGCCCAGCAATGGTTTACAACAACAGTCACCCCGTACAATTTAATATTTGCTATTAGCTGCACATAGTAAGTTCCCTGAATGCAGCTGTGGCTTTGCATTCTTTTGAATCCCCCCACTGAGCTTGTAGCAGCTTGCCTCTGAGAAGTCTCATAGGCATGAATGCGTTAAGGGCAAAGTCTGATCATTATTCCATGGTAACCCTGGAAGTTTAAAGAATGCCAGGTATATATTAGGTACTTAATAAATGTTGGTGGATATGAATTCACGCCTCGAACAGCACATGCAGGACAGTTACTTACTGATGTATTCTGAAAGACTTTCTAATTCTTGAATACACAAGTTGTTTTGTCTCAGCATGGTAGTGGGTTGCTAAAACCGTAAAAGTTGGAGAGGCCAAGAGTGGTTGCATTAAGGCAGATAAACTTCATTAGCATTATATCGGCTATATTCTAATTATATTCCCTGTGACTTTACTATTGTAGTAAAAATCTGCATGTAAAAGTGTATTCTTGTGTGGTTTTAAAAGATGTAGACAACTTTGCACATACTTTTTTTCCTATAGACGGAAAGTGTGTAGCCCTGGCTTTCTTGGCAGTCACTATATAGACCAGTCTGGACCCAAATCCCCAGAGATCTGCCTGTCTCTATTCTACTTATGTTGGGATTAAAGGCAAAGCACCACCATCCATGCCTTATACACTGATATTCTTTCAAATAGGAACAGCATCTGTTATTTGTAATATATTTACTATGGTTACTGAAATAGAAATGGTAGAAGAGGGATCTTGTTCTGGTTAGATCTCCAAGGATGAGTTTTATAGACCGGGGGAAGGACTTGGGAGGTGTAAGAAGGCCTCTGCACTACCCTCATAGTATTACTCTAATCTGTACTTACATTTCCGTTTGGACAATTTTCTTGTTTCTTCCTTCTCTTTAACTGAGAGTTCTACCTTAAAACACACAGGGGTGTTTAACTATATTCATTCCGTGACAGAAGCTCCATTAAAAAAATAAAGTATGGAATGCTGCAACTGAATTGTTCTGGAGCACTTTCCCTTCTCACTTGTTACCTGATCATCCAGGAGAGAAGATCCAACAGGTAGAATGTAAGGCAGGGTGGGATTTGCAATACTTGTGTCTACCCGAGTGTTTTCCCTGATAGATTATGGAAAAATATCTATTGGCAGTTCACTCTATTAACAGAAGTCTCTTAGGGCTTCTTAATTTCAGAAACAAGATGTAAGAAATCCAGTAAAGAGAGTTTTGTTATTCGTTTTTAAAAACATTGACACAGGAAATCAACATAACACCTGAAAGACACAAATGAGATCCTAGTGATTGCAACCACCTATTTGACCCTGTAGGCAGGCTTTGTCCACCAGGGCATCCAAATGGTCCTGCTTCGAAGTTCTCCTTAATCAGAGAGACAGAGGGGGACAGTGGAAGCAGGAGGCACTGCTTTCTCGCTCTCTTCTTCCTTTCTTCCTACACAGACTGAAGTGCTGTTATGAGACAACACACTGCTGAGTTAATGTAACTTAAAAATTTACAGCAGGTTGTATGCCTGGAGGCACATTATGGGACCACCTGTAGGCATCTAATTCCACAGAAATTAATAAATAATTGTGAAGCATTCCTCAGGGTGTAGAGGAGAGTGGGTAAAGAATTGCGTTGCTCATTCCCTCCTATGTGAATTCTGCTGGGGAGAAGGATTAGGGAACTGTACTCTTTCCAACAAATGAGTAATCCTTCTGCCCACAAAGGAGTCTGCTAAATGCTACGCCAGACACCTGGGTGCCAGATCTACCCAGCCATTGTGTGTGTGTGTGTGTGTGTGTGTGTGTGTGTGTGTGTGTGTGTGTGTGTGTGTGTGTGTGTGTGTGTGGTGTGTGTGTGTGTGTGTGGTGTGTGTGGTGTGTGTGTGTGTGTGTGTGCAGTTCTTATAATCCACCTGGAAAAATTACCACAGAGCAACTGCTTAATATAGCACATTGATCCATTTAGGAACCTTTTTGTTTGTTTGTTTGTTTTATGTTTTTTACATTAGAGTGCTATTTTGCTTGTCTCTCTCCATCTTGTTTATCTCCATGAAGATGTCTTCACATATTTTAATGAAGGTAGAGTGACAGTGAGGATAATGAGAATATGTTAAATAGGATTCTAAGCATTTGGGTTGTGAATGTGTTTGTGTGTGCACGTTTTCATGCGTGCAAGTATCCACGCATGTGGAGGCTGGGTATCAACTGTCAGTGTCCTTCCTCAGCTATCATTTACCTTGTTTTTTGACAGACAGTGTCTTTTGCTGGCCTGGAACTCACTAAGTGGACAAGGTTAATGCTCAAGAGGCCCACAGAGACCTGCCTATTTCTGCCTCCCCATAACTGGGATTATAAAATTGCTCTACTTCTAAGAGCCCTCCCTGTCACTGCCCCTCAAGATGAAGCAAACACTTCACTGACTGAGCTACCTCCCCAACCCTCAAGCATTTATTTGTGGGGGAAGGAGATTTATGCATAAATTTTTAGCACTGTTAAGCAACCTTGTGCTTTTGTAGACCGAAAGGTGAAATTAACCTACAAAGTAAATGTATTTCTTACCATGCTTTCCTTTTCTCAAGGGGGGAATGTTCTGTGACTAGTCAGAGGTTACATATGATTTGTTGCCATGAAGCTGGTGAAATTTCACACAGAGAGAGAGAGAGAGAGAGAGAGAGAGAGAGAGAGAGAGAGGATGGGGCAGAAAAAGAGAGAGAGATAACGTACAATTCAAAAACTTCTCTAATTATTATTGTTCACTTAGGTACAATTGTATCTAATCGATTTTTTCTTAATGGGATTTTTATTTTAGTCTTTAAATTTTTTTGAGATTATAAGATAGTGTCATCTCTCCCTTTCCTACTTCCAAACCCTACCCATAATATTGCATATAAACTTTATGAATGTACTTTCAATCCTAGAAACAACCTAAAGGCTGCTTGAATTTTAAATGTGAACAGCCTTCTCCACAGTGATCCCATGGCATTGAATTAAGAATACGACACATAAATTATCACTTAAGTACAGAAGATTGGATTCTCGGTGGTATTAAAGTTGACATTTCCTTTTTATTTGTACTGCATGAAGGGTTAATAAGGTTTGTATAACCTTAGTCTTTGATGGCTTTTCGGCAGGCAAGTTCAGGATTGCTGCCAAAACAGATTTTAACCCTTTTAATCAGACTGTTAATAGCCATGGTGCACACAGCCCAGAGGATCCTGGACATAAAGCAATGTAGCTCTGGACCCAGTTTGACCTGATATCCAGTGAAGGGAACGTTCCTAGAGATGCTTGCCATTTTGGTTGCTATGGTGAGTTTCATATTTTGTGGAAACCACTGCTAGATGTCTTAAAATAGACCTTTGCCAAGAAAAACATTGGTCCAGTGGCATATGCTGGCAGAGCATGACAAGGTTGCTCAAATTCCCTTCCTTTGTTTTTCCCTCTCCCCCATGGGGCAACTGCTCTAGGCACCAGCCCACTAGTCTGGCAGGCTGAGAATCCAGGAACTTGCTGCTAATTACAATGTTGACAATTCCCAACCTGTTTACTGGCGCCAGCAATCAAACTGTATCCTCTCAAGTGAACCAAAAAGCACTCGCTGGCTTTAGCTTCCCGAGGTTCCAAGCTGGCTGTATTAATTACTGTTAACTTAAAACTGTATGCTGCTCAGAGGCACCTTAATTAGCTGGTTTGAGGATTGAAGGCTATCCTCTCCACATTTTCAAGTATTCCAGGTCTGAGCAAATTTATGTGAAATCCTAAAACATCTTTCTGAGGGCAGAAAGCTTATTGTCTTAGGTGTCCTTTGTCTCAGCCAACATGGCCAGTGTTTTACCTGAAATCCAGCATCAATATATAGATGGGAAGAAAATAATAACCTTTACTTCGTTCTTCCTTCCTTCTTTTTCTCTTTCCCTTTACATTTCCAATTGTTTTATTTTGCCTACTTGAGAAATCAAGAATTTAATGGGTATACTTATTTAGAGGTATCATTTATACTTAACAAAAAACAATAGTTTTTTCCTGTAAATGATATGGTGAAAAGGAACATTCTTGTCTTGACAAACAAAATACTTATTCCATATATTTTCCTAGTTAATATCCAGTTGTGATAGACTATCAGATCAAACACAACAGTCTTTCCTATGTAATAACATACGTTTTTGTTTTTGTAAGTATGGTGACCACACAGTGATGACTCACCCTTAGATCCACCAAAATGATAAACACTTACAGGTAATCTGCATATGCCTGCCTGTGGCAGAACCCCATACAACTGTCACATATAGCACAGCAGAAGTAAGCAAGAGCTTTGTAAAACTGAGAATTTTATTTTGACTCTGAGCTATTCCAAGAACCAATCTGTCTTCCTTTATTCAGCAAGAAAGCTTTGAATACCTACAAAACATGACATAAGGAGAGTAATTATCATTTTATATTGTAGATTAAAATGTGGATTAAGTTAGGTGAGTGGCTCATGCCTATAGCCTCAGCATGTAAAAGATGAGGCAGGAGAATCTTGAATCCGAGGCCAATCTGAGCCTAATCAACAAAACCCCATCTTAGCAAACACACACACACACACACACACACACACACACACACTCATTCACATACAGAGACACATGCTTTTACTTATAATTTTTGAATACAAACATTACAGGATCAGTGTCTATAATCTTATTTTAAATTCTCTCACTGTGGGAAATATTTATCAGCCTAATACTTTCACCAGCATTTTCGTTCCAAAGCTAATTAAATTGACTTAATTGTGGTTAGATATTCTTGATTTAGTAAAACATTTGCAACTAGTGTAAGAGATCAAATCATTCCATTAAAAGAACTTAGGTTTGTATGTCCATTCTATTAATTTGGCCTATAACATTTTCCCAGATTTTGAAAACCCCTAAGTGTAAGCACATTACAGAAATGTCAAATATTTGGTGCATTCACATCTGTGTAGATGATCTGTGAACTTAAAATGTTTATGCTGTATGAAAATGGCTAGAAATAGTGACTAATATGAAAACAGTAGGAACCAGTAATATACACTAACAAGGGCAATGTGGGAAGAAATACTCTAAATTGAAGCTTTGTGATGTTAGAAGCATGGGCATCACAGAGGACCTGCACACAAGCTTAGTATATTACCTAGGCTGCCATGAAGATTTCTTTTTAGGTACTGTGGCATGAGGGCTTCATAAGTAAAACTGGAAATTGTACTACATTCAGGAGAACTTATTCATAGCAACTAAATTATGATGTTGTTCAATACATATCTAAAACTCATAAAATCTTGAATTTTTGTAGCTAATAGACTAGGAAAAAGTCATAGCTGAAGAAAAATAGGTAACCAAGGACACATTCGGGCACATTCTATCTCTGGAAATGAAGGTTGTACCATAGAAAGACAAGTGTCAACCTCTATTTTTACTAAAGTTAATTAGAAAATAGTCTGTGTTCCTAACCCTGAAGTAATTGCATTGAATAGACAAACTTAAACCCTTAAAATTTAAATACCTGCACATCGCATCAAGGAATATTGCTGATACAGACTTACAAATTTGTCTAGTGTGCCTGGTATCAAAAGTGTGATTCAAATATACTGTATATGTTTTCCAACAGAAAAAAAAATGAGATAAAAGGACTTTGTCTAAATGCAAAGCCCGCTCAACCATATCTGTCTTTTCAAAGTGATGATACTTACTTTGATTTGAGAAACATCATGTTATCCTGCCAGAAAGGATTTTATACATGCAAGCTAGGCCTGGTGTATGAAGAGACTATTCATATTTTTCTTTATATGAATTTCTATGCACCATAATGTGAATTTTGGCTAAAATTTAAAAAAAGTAAGAACATCATAGAAATATCATTAAAACTCAAATGATGAAGAAATTCTTCTACACCAATAAGTGACATACAGTTAATATTAACAACTGCCCATCACATCTGGAAAAGAAATGCTGAACTAGCATAAAGACAAACAGCTTTTCTAAAGTTTCCTGGAATTGATGCTGTCTTCGAGGTGTATGGTGCCAGTTATTAGACCTTTCAATGAAAGAACCTGCAGTAATTCATTATTGTCTTGCTAAATGTGTCACTCCAAACTGAAGACTCTTCTATGCAGTCTACATCCCTTAATATTGTTACCATCATCTGTGTCCCTCAACTCTTGTCAAAGTCAATTGTTAGCCACAAGGATTTCCATATCCAAATGTGAAGCTGTCTTCAGAGTGTAACATTGGACAGTACTTTCAGTAAATACAGCATCCAAAGATAGCAAAATTCAGTTTGTGGTAAGTAGTTTTCTTACTTTTGTTTCTGTGGCCATCTGTCCATCACACAGTTCCACAGCTGGCCTTTGGATGACTATATCCAGCAAAAAGGACGATTCTAATATAAGCAGAAATAAATAACTTTAAAACCTCCTGTTTCTGTTCCCAGGAAGCTAACTGAAGTCAGTTGCTACTGAAAGCTTCATGCAATTTTTTTGTTAAGTGTATCCTCAAAGGTTTAAAGGGACAATATCTATAATGTCATTGACCTACATATGAATAGTTCATAAATGATCTGAATAAAACAATAGCTGGCAAACCATATCACCTTTATGTTTAGAGAATGGGTATATTCTTTAAGATTACCAATTAGCTTATAGTTATTATGCTCGGAACACTCAGGAAAGTTACAGCTTTCAAAAGAAATGATAATTTAGTCTGCTTTCCTAATAAGTGATGGAAAACATTTTAACTATGGTACAGACCCTGAGCAATGAAAATGTGCCTATAATAGTAATTATTACACTACGTGAAGTATGTCTCTATTGATTAACAGTTAAAATTCATGAATTTTACAAGTGGCTACAGGTTTAATTCGAAATAAAACACAGTAGGTGATGTGCATGAGAAACAGTTTCCCACTAGACTAGATTAAAGGGTTATTTAGAATTTATCAACTAATACAAGCTTGAATAAACTGTTCTTATAGATTTTCAGTTGCTTGAGGGTTATATATGACAGAGAAAAATGAGTATTTTTGCTTGCACTATTAGTAAGCAAATTTGAGGATTAGAGTTTATGTTAAAATTACATAAAATGTAAATACTTTCCATGCCACAGCTATTTTTTTCAGTAATTACTTTCAAATGGGCACCAGTTAAGGGAAGCATATGAACCTTATATCAATATGTCATAAAAATATTAACTGCTTTCACTGAATTAATTTATATTTTGAGTGTCTGCTATGTGCCAGAGAGTGTATTAGTTACTACAAAAGTTTGCTGTATAGTATTAGAATTGAAATTTCTAGACAAATATTGATCCTGGTAAAGGAATAATGGGATATAACATAGTATTCACTTTGCAAAATATCATAAACTTAATAGCATATACTCATAGAGTATAAACATCTTAAAAGCCAAGTGGTTGCTCTCTCTATATCTACACACACACACACACACACACACACACACACACACACACACACACACAGTGACTTTGAACATTTGTTCTCATTACGTAGAAGTACCACTGAGATTGTTACTGTTTAGGGAGCTTTTTTATCTTATCATATGAACACACATATAAGTGAACTTCCATGATAATATATCTGATGTTTTTCTGACATTCTTTTCTCACAAAAACAAATAACAACTACAGGGTAAAAACATTTTGCAAATTTTCCACCCTCTTCATGTTTGAAGAATTTAAGTAAAAATCTTGAGGATCCAGTTTTGGCCTGATGTTGTAATACATCTCTGAATAGCTCTGAAACACCTCAGTTGTAGCATTCGTTTACATGTTGTCTATATGTGAAGGGAAGAGTAAGATTCAGACAAAAGTTTTAAAAGGCTGGTTTTAGCTTTCTTCAAAGGAAGCCAAAATCTTTTATAGACAGTAGAACCTTGAAAGAATCTAAACACAGACCTTAGTGATGAGGCCAATAAGGACCAACAAGCCATATGACCAGATCCCTGCTCATTGTAGAGCCTGAGTTCAGAGGCAGATTTTCTAGTTTTTATTTCAAAATTCTTAAATTAACTAATTAGTAACTCAGTTAATCTGTGACTTGCTGGAGCTAGCACTTACATTGACCATACATACTCAACAGAAGTAAAAGACATCATTAGTTCTCATTAATATGTAGAATAAAATTATAAGAACAAAATTTAAGAAATTATTTTTCTAATTGCATAAAACTGTGAAAAAGTAATCTTTTCGAAGAATTTTTAGCATCTATACTTCATTATACTACTACTACTACTACTTTCAAATGCTGTAACTGTTGCCTTCATCATATACTTTGTCAACTTTGTGAAATGTTCAGTGATGTAAACTGCACATGAATTAAGAATGTGGTATTAGTAAACAGATTATGATTCTGTCCTTTAGTTTGAATTTTAAGTGAATGAAATTTGGGACTAATTTTAAGCCATCATAACAAATGTTACCAGTCTTCTTGTTTTACATTCTTAGAATTGAATATTAAATTAATAGAAAGTAGAATTTTAGATTTGGAAAAATTTTGATTCCAGCTATCTTAATATATGTATATATTTTAAGATACTGTGGGCTATTACGGTCTCTTGAAAGGATATTTGCATAAACACTTATACAGATATTGTTATACTTTTATATGCTATGAAGATCAGATTCTCTTACTTTGCTTACATCATAATTAGTACATAATACACTTCATATTAACCATATTCAACTAGTCACAAATTTGACACCCAGACAACAACACAAATATCACAGTGTGTTTCCTCTATTGTTAATCTGTATTCAACAATGAACTAATTAATGGATTCAAAACATATTTCATGGAAATGGAAATTTTTCCAATGTTTCTTTTTATCTTATACTTTGTGTATTAATTGCCACTCTTTGTCAGTTGAAAGGTTTATTTTACACATTCATACAAAATGTTATGAAGAGTGAAATTCAAGGCTTCTAAGTATCAATTTAATACACAGATGCCATGAGAAATTCCTCAAATATTTATTCCTCAAATATTTTCGCACATACACACACACACACAAACTCTACTATAAAATGAATTACTTAAAACGTATGTATCATTTATACTTATAATTGCATAAATACTACAACTAATAAAGTCTTCACATATTCTGAGGTCATTAGTAATTTTTAGTGGAAATTATTTCAAAGCAAATTTACTTTGTAGGATGTTTAGCTATCTAGCATCTGAGAGAAAGAAGATGATGAATAATGGTGGTCCTCACTGTCTGTTACCTCTTCTATGGTTCTGTCTTTCCCCCACAAAGTACGAAATATTTGTTCTACATAAAGTACAAAAATATTTCCCACCCTTCCTATAACATTCACAATCATTTCTATTGAAAATTTGCCATCACTAAAATGAAATATAATGAGAGAAGTTATAACGCAATTGGTGGAATTTTCCACCCTTCTTATACTTCTTCCTCTGCTTTTCTTTGCCCAGACTGTCATTAGGAGCCCTCTTTCGGTTCTACATTCACACTGGTGTGATACCAAGAATTATGTCATTCTTTCTAGGGTTAACAATGACTTCAGAAAATATCTTGGTCCTGGAATATGCCTAGGTCTTGAGAAGTATATCTTGTGAAAGTCACTAGTTCGATACTTTTTTCTTCTTGGTGTATTCACATAGGACTAATCATAAACTCCTAGTCCTCAATTCAAGTTCCCTGACGTCCTGTATAACCAGCAACATTAGAACACAATTAAAAGGCACAGAGAAGGAAATAAACAAGTTATTTTTAAAAATCCAGTTTCCATCAGACTCCTTACCTGAGATTTAGTAGCAAATATTTCTTATACCCATTTGTGAATATTATGTATTGCAGTGTAAATTGAGTGTTTGCAAATTTAATACACACTTGGATGGTATGTTCCAAAACTATGATCAATAAACCATAAATGGAGGCTATAAATTTTGGGGTATTTAAACAGTCTTCTTTAAAGAAAAAAATAATGATCAAAAGCAAAGTTTACAAGCTTTCTTCCACCCCTCCCTTCATTATACCAAAAGTGATTTTATCCATCAGAACCTAAGTGTACCTACATTCACTTAAGATAATACAAGTTCTCTTCATTTCTTAAGGCAAAACAAATACCATAAAGATGATGCATAGTCTTCTTTCACATGGACCTTAATGGAAAAATGATTATGACTGCTTAGTATCTCTGGGTCCTAACATGAAAACCACCAACAAGCACTTTGCACTTCTTTATTGTTGGCTAGGAATACTGACAATGTACAAGCAGTAATTGGGTAGTTGTGGTGTAATTTTTTAAAATTGTGTTTTCTGTTAATAAAAAACAATGGGCTGTCTTGTCACAAAAAAATCTATCACAGTCATGTCAAATTAATAAAGTTTGGCTTTGGTTTGCCTCTTATTATTAAATACTCAGACTAGGGAAATGTTCCCCTAAAAATAATTTAAAACAGGAACTGTTTTCAGACTGACACCTAATGGAAACTTTTAAAAGTAAATACTTCCTCAGAAAAAAGAAAGAAAGTAACTGGATAAAAATTGAAACCACTCAATCAGAAGAAAATCAAACAGTTTGTCATTGGATGGGCAGAGGCCTCGTTTTCCTTCCCATTATCCCACTTTAAAACTTATTATTCATTTATGAAGCAATTTCAATCATGAGCTCAAGCTCCAGTGCCAAAGACCTGAATGAAATAGCTTATTTTCCAAAGAGATCTTGCTTATTCCCACAACAAATGATAGGATATGACATCTTCTGTCTCTCCTTCCAATACCAGGCCCTTTCAATACCTTCCACACTTGGATAGTCAACCAGCAATTAGAACAACTTTTCAGACATAACCTAGAAGCTAGCCTACACCACTCTCTCTACTTTTCTAATTTTCAGGGAAACAACAGCACAAATAGGCATACTGAGTATTGTTAGATACATACTAAACACAGTATTTTAAAACCCTTAACCACCAACTGGAGAAAGAAGGTAATTTTGGGAGAATAAAAGAAAGAACCTTGTTTACACATTTTTCTTGGTAGTGACAGAATGCTGAGGGCAACGACGGCCTCTGTTTGCTTCATCTTATTCTGAAAACCGGCTCATTACCAGGAATCTGAACAGGAGACCCCACCCGTTTACACACTTATCGACATTGCTAAGTCTAGATAGCCTGGGACTCATCCTGGGACCAGACACGTAGGATAGGAAAAGGGAAAGGGAGAGAAGGGACGTGGATAACCCTTCATTACAGATCTATTGCTGGAAATAAGAGGGGGGAGGGGGACCTTAAATAGGAAAGGCTGTTTCTTCAAGACACCTCTCTTGCAATGTCCCTGGGATTCAGCTTGCTCTTGTGGGCAAGGACCCAGTAGAGAGAATGCAAGTCTTGCACCGAGAATGGTATCTGTTCCAGAGGGAGAAGGTGACTGAATGCAGCTGAGCTTAGAGTGGGTCCAGGAATGCCACAAGGGAGAGCTGCTTTCATTTCTCCAGCAGCTTCGACTTCTCAGGAATTCAGTCTTCTTCGCAGTCAGTCCCTCAAACAAAATCAACCCGTGACACACAGGGAGGAAAAAGTGGTCTTAAGTCTAGCCGTGCCTGGTCACCAGGTTCATTCTTGTCCCCAGCATTTCTCCGCCCACCTTTGAAAAGCCACCACCCGAGGAACCCCTGCAGCATCCCAAGAGAAATAAAAGAGAGCTGCATAGCTCAGGAGTCCTATGCCAGTTAGGGCTGAGCTCCGGAGCCTCTGCCAGTGCCTTCCACCACCGTGGACCCTATTTCAGGCTCCAAAGAACATCTTAAACTCCTGCGCTCCAGGAGTTCCCCGGGCTTGCTGGAAGGTCGCGCCTGCTATTGCTTGCTCTTCGCTAGGAGGGGATGCATCCACATTGCTTTATGGTCCATTAACATTAGAAACAGACAAAAACTGCAAGAGTGGAGGATTTTCTCTTCCTCCTATTCCTCTGCGGCAGACCTGAGACTGGGAACATGCCTTGATTTTGTTGATGTTTGAGACTCATCCCAAAGGCCGAGGGAGGGAAGGCAGCGCTGCAAAAGTGTCCCAAAGAAACTGGACATCTGAACAGTCACTGCCTGCCCCAGGAAGGTTCCAGCTCCGTGCTACAATGCAACCAATCCGATTACCAGCCTGCATCTCCACCTTTCCACGGAGAATTCGAAAAGAAAATAGGGGTTCCTGAGAGACCCACAACACTTGTAATCTGAAAGTTCCACGAGGACCCAGCCCCCTGTCTCCCGCCCCTCCCCAAACTGGGTTGCTACGTCTTCCTGCCTAGCGTTTCGGCCGGCTGCGGGTGGGGCTACGACTCCGCCCCAGATCAGGAATTCGCAAAGTCACGAGCTTGGACAAGCTTGCCGGGGCACCTTCGCCCACGGACACGCCCTTTCTGCCAATACATGCCCCAAGCGACCCTCTCCCCTGCTCTAGCTCAGCGTTCCGAGGCGCTGCTGAACCAGTTCAGGCCTTCCAATCCTTTGCAACTTTAGAGAGTCTTTCAGATCCGCGCCTAGTCCCCCTGCCTTCTAGTCACAATCACATCCCAAAGAGAGAGAGAGAGAGAGAAAGAGAGAGAGAGAGAGAGAGAGAGAGAGAGAGAGAGAGAGAGAGAGAGAGAGAGAGAGAGAGAGAGAGAGAGAGAGAGAGAGAGAGAGAGAGAGAGAGAGAGAGAGAGAGAAAGAGAGAGGACGCGAATGGCCCCACAGTCCACAGGCCGGGTTTCAGAGACCCTCTTCCTTTCTCCGCCCCTCTCCTCCCCTCTCCTCCGCCTGGCCCCCTCGCCCCCTCCCCCGGCGCGCACCCATTTTTTCCTTCTAAAAAGCAGTCTGGGTCACCAGAGGTGCTGGGAAGACCCAGAACGAAACCACCCGAGGAAAAGAAAACATAGAAGTGCTACCTTGGCAACCGGGAGCTTTTAGTGGCCAGCTGGTGGGCTGGCAGGGGCGGCTGCTGCCCGCCTGCCGCTGGTACTCTCCTCGACTACGCGTATTCTTAAGCAATAACAACGTAATCCGTATTATCCACCCAAGAATACCCGTCACCGAAGAGAGTCAGAGGGCCAAGCTGCCGCTGCCTCTGCCGCTGCTACCGCTGTCGCTGCTGCTGCTGCCGCCACCACCAGAAAGAACTCTTGCTGCCGATCCCGCCCCTGGCTGGGGCTGGGCTGAGCTTGACCGGGACCATAAATCCATAACTCGATTTCCCTAAAGAAGGCTCCAAAGCTGTGCTCTGCTTCCTGCCCAGATCCTCCAAATGGCTGTTCTATTTCCAATTCTGAAAGACAAATCACAGAATCATCCACTTAACACACAAGAGACAAGTGCTTTCTTTCTACGGAGCAGGGACTAGGTGCCAAGGCTCTTTGGGGAGTGATAAGTAATGCTCAGTTTACCTGGTGATCACCCAGCGCTCTCCTTGGTACTTGCTCTGCTTCATGCCCACTCTGGTCACGGCCAGCCCACTCTAGGCGCTTTGATTGAGTGTCACAGCAGCCAGCGAACCCTGTAGAAGACATGCATAGTTAAGCACACAAATATTACAAATGTATTTGCCTGGACGGCTTTAGGAAGAAGTGGGACTCAGATCAAGATCAGGTCAAACATGGGTGGAATTTTCAACAGTGTGTGTTTTGGAAATGCATGGTCTCATGATCACAGAAAATAAACACTCATTCAATTTAATAAAATACTTATATATCTGCAAAAATAGGCATCTCCTCTTTGAAGGCCTTCGAGCTACATACAACATAATGGCTTTTAAAGGGAGGGAAACAGCTTCGAGGCACAAAATAATTAAACCCGTTTTCCATACTATCTGAACTCACTAAGTTGACAAGCTAGTAGAGCTTCTAGGGTGTAAGCATCATTTAGGATTGCCAGGGTGTTTAATTTCTCAGCCCACGTTTCAGGACTCACTATCAATACATCACTGTGCAGTGTTGAGAACACCTCTACAGCAAGCCCTTTGAAGCTCTGTCCTCATGCAAATCATTTTAAGAAGGAACTCAATAAAAACTCATTCTCAAAGTGACTAATTTTGACATTCAGGAAAAAATCCCCTATGCTTTGATGATCTACATGGCTTTAACTTGGACAGCTTTGTCTTAAGACTCTGCAGTGGATATTCCCACAAATGGGGGTTTATTGTTCACTAAATAAAATAGACCAGTGGAATGCCACCACCCAAGACATCCCAAAGCTCCATTAGAAAGTTCTCAATTTGTTTCTTGCTTTACTTTCTAATGCATGAAAGTACATCTATGTGAGTGTAGAGGAGGGATATAGAAAGATAGCAACAGACATGATATCTCAAATTATGTAAGTGCAAATAGCTCTTCATCAAGGAGTAATTATGTAACAGTCTCTCCCACCACCACAACTCATATCTGACTGACCTGTTTGTAATTTAAGGCACTTAGATTATGCATGCTCTCATTATTATTTTTGATATAATATTTCTCCAGGCATTCCAACTCATCATTTTCCTGGCACATTACTTACAGTAGAAAAACCAACATGATTTCTGGATTTTATGATTTAATGTCTGTCTGAAACAACTCAAAAGAAAAATAGTGCTTCCCACTGACTAGCCTATTTTGCAGTATCTCTTTAGGCAACTCATGATTACACCATTTACCACAAAACTCAAACCAGCAAAACAATTAATAAATTCCATTTTCTGCCATTATCCATCATAGACATAAAATGGAGCTTTTCTCTGGTATTACAACCAGAAAAACATTAAAAAAGCTGACAGGTTCCCTTTAGCCCGAACTCCTAGAAACAAAAGCCCTTAGGGAAAGTAATGCAATAGTCTATGAGCAAAGTGTGCATTTCCTCCTGAACTCTTTTATTTAAAATCTCAACTATCCCTAAAAGGAAATCAAGACACATTGTACAAATAGGATTTGATTTACTAAATGGAATGTTTTTCAATTCAGAAGAATGGTTGAGGCATGGACACATACACACACCCCACATGCACACATTTTCCTCATTCTGTAGAATTACGGCATAAATGCCCACACAGCTTTTCAGTGCTTTCCAAGTACTTTCCCTTAGTTTATCATAATTCCGGGAAAATCTCTCTTTCTCTCTCTGTCTCTCTGTGTATCTCTCTCGGTTTCTCTCTCTCTCTCTCTCTCTCTCTCTCTCTCTCTCTCTCTCTCTCTCTCTCTCTCTGTGTCTCTCTCTCACACACGCACACACACATATACACACGGACACCAGACACACGGACACACACGGAGACCCACAGACTCGCATGCTTTAAAAAAAAGGAAAAGAAAACCTAGAACAACGCAGTCGATAGATTTTCTTCCTAGCCAAGCACCAGAGTCAGCCCTTTCCCTACATACCAAACGCTCCACACTTCAGCACCTGGACCAGTGGACAGCTCAGTCCAAGCCGACAGCCCACAGCACTTCCAACAGAACTGACGCTCCAAGCTCTAACCATAGCTCTGGTGCTTCAGCGGGGCAGCCTGACTTACGAGAACACCATTTCCTACGAGACCACTGCCGCTGGGTGCATATTCAATTCAAACCTCCTTAAGCTGTCGGATTTCCCCCACCCATCTACCCTCCCCACCCCCCTCCACCCTCCACACAAAAACGGAAAAGGGAAAAAGCCCAATACTACCAGGGCATTTGTTGATCAACTTACACTTTCCTTTTGAATATTTAGGTACCGCTATCGGAGCAATAGCAGCGGAGGCTTAGGTCCGCATTAAGTACCTTTGTTCGTCGACTCCTGCAAGCCATGTTTATTAGAATCTACAAATCTCTCTCGCCCCTATAACTGGAGGTGTGTTTTTCGGGCAAGGGGCAGGGGTGCTTTTGGCACCTTTTGATCTCTTAAGGCCACTGCGACTATCGCAGTGTTTCCTTCTACTTCCCCACCCTGTCCCCCATTCGCTAGCACCCATCCCAGTTAAACGCTTGGTAATTAAAAACCAAATATACATAAAGCAAGCTACAAAACAATCGGTTTAGGAAATAAGGCAATTCAGCTAAGACAGAAATATTCTCTCTCTCCCCTCTCTCTCTCTCTCTCTCTCTCTCTCTCTCTCTCTCTCTCTCTCTCTCTCTCTCTCCTCCCTCCTCCTCTCTCCCTCCTCCCTCCTTCTCTCTCTCCTTCTCTCTCAAGTAGAAAGGGGGAAAACACGAAGGAGAGGGAAAAATCGGGAGGAGGGTGGTAGTGGACTCCTACAATCAATGCCAAAACACTATACACATCGTCACTGAATAACACTCTCGATCTCAAACAAAAAGAAACCCATTTACCGATGTAAACATAGTCGCCCTCTCCCACACATCCTACATCCTTTGCATTTGCTGAGATTTGTCTGCGGTATCGCAGGTACAGCAAAGTAACTGTCACAAATCCGTCTAGAATGAAGTGCTTACCCTCTAAATCCAGGTTGCCAGCGGAACTCCAACTGTGTGCAGAAGCCAGGAGTCATCCGATGGGCGGTGAGGCAGGCTTGGGTAGTGGGAGCCTCTGCTCTCTGAACGCCGGGTTACAGTGTTAACAAGCCCTGGGAAGAGACCTCGTCGCCTCGCGCTGGCTGTGCCCCAGTGCCTTCGCGTGGTGGTGGCTTGCTCATGCTTCCGAGGAGTCCCAGGCGAGAGCCTTCAGCTGATGCGAGCTTCCAGAAAGGCGTGGGGAAGGGGGGAAAATCATCTAATGCAATCAAATCGATCTGATCTACACCATCTGTCGCCTGCCACTATACACAAACGTTAAAATAGGAAAACGGAAAACACTGACAGCCCGAGAGGGTTGGTCTGCAAAGAGTTCATTTTTAGCAAAGCATAATTGGGTATGGTCGGCATACAGTTACAAAAGCCGCTGTTAACCATCCTGTAGTGGACCCCGAACATGCTAATGGTGGATTAATTGAGGAAGATCTGACGTGTGAGCTTCATAGTCTCTTATTCATGACTTCCCAATGGGAAAGGACCAATGCCTTGTGGGACTATGGTAACATACAGTCAAAAAGCTGCTAAGAAAATGGCTGTGTGTTCACAGCACCTCTCTCTGATAACAAACATATGTCGACTAAAACGGTGTAGTAGAATGGGAGGGGGTTGCAAAATAAAATTTTCTTTCCCTATGTAAGCAACCTCTATATTCTTTCATTAAAGAAAAGCAAATATATATATGTATATATATATCACATCTTTAGCATAGTGGGGAGAAAGGGATGTTTTAAAATGCTTAAAAAAATCAAGATCCAACTCTGTCATATAAAAGAAAAGGAACACTCTTGCATAGCAGCTGCTTAAAAATATCTACTATTTTTTCCTTAGTGTAATCAAAGTACATGCATAGCATGTGCTGCATATAGAAACAACCTAGTAAATACCACTAGTATTGACTCAAGGTTGCTCAGTGCCAGGTACCCTTTTTGACTTATTGAAATCAGGATGCCTTTAAGGTAAACATTTTGTATAATTTAAAATTGATTTAATAAGGAGATGGGGAGGGATTTTTTAAATTAAATTCTATAGTCACCCTCCCACCCAAATATCTTTTGGTGTGTCTCTGATCTATACTAAACATTTAATGGGAGAGATAAGGGAATGGGGAGAAAGGTTGAGATATCAGGGAAGGAAAAAGAGTGTATACTACCAATAACCAATAAATTCTATTCTATTTGTAATAGAAAAAATAGGGCAATGGAAGATATCATGCCCTGTCAATTGTGATATATAAACACATACCAGTGTTCAAAAATTAATGTTTTACATATGGAGAGAAAACATATTTCCAACAGCGGATGACATAACCTCATCTATTTGCAGTTTTCAGATATTTTAAAAGGACTATCATAAGAGAATTTATTTTATGTGCATGTAGCATTCTTTTTTTAATCTATTCTAAATACTCTGCATTTCTTTGATTTTCGCATCCATTTGAACATAGATAATCATATTCACTTGATTCTGCTCCCCTCTGTTAAAAAGAACATTACATCAATTCTTTAGTAAACAATTAGTATTTAGGATAATTGTTGAAATAGTTGGATGTGTCTCCTGAAAACTCTGATAATCTCTTTAAGAAAAAAAACTGAATTAGATTAGTCTAAAAATATAGCTTGAAGACAAATCAAACAATTTACCTGATCTTTTGTTTCAATATACATTAATTAAGCACTCTTTCCAACCTACACAACATTCCAGGGTCATAGTCAGAAATTCAAGCCTAATAGCTTAGCAGCCTTTGTTGTCATTCGCGTCAAGCTATTGCCCCCTGCAGGTCAGGTTGAAAGTGCAGGCAGATTTTGGCCAGGCCCTCAGAAAATTTACGGTAGTCATGTTATGTCAGGCTCAACCAATATGTAAGTAGAGTCAAAATTTCACTTTTGGCTTGTTTTGATTTAGAAATAGCTAGGGCATCTGTAAAATGAGCAATAAAGAAAATGGAGATTCCAGGCTTTCTTCTGATAGCTTAGCTTGGAAAGGAGGGAGCAAACTATCCACTTTTTTTCACGACGTGATAAAATCTTTGGTGCACTTACCACTATCCATCTTGCCTTATTTATTCTTTCCCCACATGAACCAGAA